CACCATAAGGCGTCAGATAATGAAACCGAAAGACATTTCGCCATGGCAAGAAATATCTGGAGTCACCTACAGGATCTGGTGCACTTGCGGGTAAAGTAACTATGTCGGAGAAACTGGCAGACTTCTCAAGAACTGAATTTTCGAACACACGGTAGCACTGTGGCGAAAGGATGTCGATTCTTAAGTTGCGGCTCATTCGACGAGAGCCGGCCACACTTTAAAATTTGATGAGGCCACAATTCTTGCAAGAGGTGACAATCGGGTGAGCCGAGAATTACTTGAGTCATGGGTCACGGGCCCCCGATCCATAAACAAGTGTAATAATTTGCCCAATACATATTCTGTTCTGAGACTGAATTTGTCCAAAGCAAGTCGACACAAGGGGTACGGACAGGCCAGATCGCCGATAAATCACCACGCCCCAGTCCACCGCTCGTGATGAAAGTTCAACAAGTCAGAGCCCGCGTGCCGTCCAACAAACTATCTACGCGCAAGGAGGCAATTAACATCAATTGTCGCTATATGTTTGCAGAAATGACTGTATTCTATAAATACTGCAAACTTCTGTGCATGCATTAACCGTTTCTGCTACTGTTTCCTATTAATGCCTCTGATGATGAATCCGCGACGGATCTCGACAAGTCAGGCGAATAAAGTGTTGTCCCAGCGATCGAGGTGTCTTCTTCTCAATTACTTCCTGGGACTCGCATGTTCGCTTTTCTTGGCTCCTGCTTCTTTTCTATCTCCTGCAGCATAGTCCATAAACAGTGGCGTTTCAGAACCGTTTGTAGGGGTCCTTGGCATTGGCGTGTTCCCATCACATCGTAATCCAGTTGTATATTCCTCAAAGTAAGTCAACCAATCGCTTTGAGTTTCCGCTAATTATCACAAGTTATAGCTCACATCTATCTAACAGATCATGATTTCAACTTCGCGGCCGTCAAGGTACTAGCCCACGCCAGAAACAAGACGAGCAGAGAATTGATTGAAGCCTGGTCCACGGACGTGAATTCAGTCAACCGATGTGTCGAATTTGCTCCGGTGTACAGAGCCTTGCGCAATTACGTACCGTCACGGCCGGGCGTCCATCCCAGTTAATTGGGCCCACATCCTCTATAATTGCCCCATTTTCGCTGCTGACAC